GTGGGGGGGAGGTATCCATGTTGGGCTCTCTCTTGCTTTGCCCACTTCTTATTTGCTTCATGAGTACTGATGACCAAGCTAGAAAAGGGAAAATTTAACTCATTTTAGAAGCTAATTCTGAATTGATTTGAACTGGTTTGAATACCTTTCTCCACTATTTTGAAAAACAAGCAAGGTTTCTTTTTCTCTTCGCAGTACTGTTGGGTTTTTTTAAACAGATTTTAGACTGTTATTTTTGCTGAAATTTACAAAGGAGTTTGTTTACAAAAGCTTACCTAGTAACCTAATAAGATTCTTAAATTCTGTGAATCTTTGCATATTTGTGTATCTTGCACATTATCACTGCTTTCAAAGACATAAAGGCTTCTTCCTGATACCCACAATAATTGAGAGTTGGCTGAATTACAATCAAAAGCCAATAAATTCTCTGTAAATATCAAGAGATTTCTTAATTGATTATCTAAAATGGCCTGAAAGAAATGATCAAGCCCTTTATAGTGACAGAAGCTGTAGTCTTTTGACTTAATTATGTAAATGAAATAAAATGACCTAATAGTATTCGTTTGTCATTTCATTTGGGACCTAAATTTTATCCTAACTACAAAGTTTTGAAAACAAAATTAGTATTTCCAAAGATGTAAGCTGTGGAAAGATACATAAAAAAACAGCTGTAAGCTTTTTCAACGTGAACTCTTTTTAGACTGAACTGAACACACTTATTTTACATCAGCTTTGGTATTTCCCAGAGCGATATAGTAGTTCAGAAGTAGTTCCACAGACTGCTATATCGTTCACTGAAGGGTTTTTAATTTTCTTTATTTTTCCCTTGCAATAAGCATTCTCTAAGGTACGTGCACTCTGACACTGTCAGGTGTGCTCAGCAACTGTCCAGATTTCCACAAATTTGACTCTGAAGGGTCCAGCCCCCCAGGAAGCAGCTTCATCATTTTCATAAAGAAATATATGTAGTTATACAAAGGAAGTTTGCCTAGTATGTTATATGCAAAATTACTGTACAAGTAACTCAACACCTAAATTTTTATTAGTAAGATAAAATATGCCTAAAATGGTTGGAAGTTTAAAAGCAAGTGTTAGTGAATCCTGCTAGTTTCTGCCTAAATCATAAGGCATGTGTATGTGTATGAAATATTTGGGTGTAGTAGAATAAATTAAAGGTGCTAAAAACTGCCTGTCCCACATTGTCAAGGTAGGATATGATACACCCTATGCTTTTTGTTTCTGACAAATTTAACAAAGCCATTTCAAAGAGCTAGGTTTTTTTTTCTTTTTTTCAGTTATCTACTCAAACCTGACTAGTTAAATGTTGCAACAGGTTTGTTAATAACAATATGGAAATTCCTCCAACTATGAACAAAGGAGATTCCAAAAGGACGTTCCTAAGTTTGTTTTGTTTTCTAAGTCTAAGCTACTGTGACTTTCTCACCATTCTCATTTTTATTATCTCTGCTGTCTATTCCATCATGGGCATATATCCATTCTTTTTTAGTTTTTTTCTTCAACATATTATAAGAAGTTCAAACCCACAGCAAAGTTTAAATAATTTTATAGTTAACACACATATGCCCATTACATAGATTCTATCATTAGCACTTTACTATACTTATCACATAATTCAATTTTGCAGCCCTCCAACCATGCATCAATAGTTATTTTTTATGCATTTCAGAGTAAATTGATGTTAGTATACTTCACCCCTAAACATTCAGCATGCATATCATTAGCCAGAGTTCAATTTGTTTGCAGTTTCTTCTTTTAAAGTAAAATACACATTCAATGCAATTGCACAAACCTTAAATGTACATTCATTGAGTTTTGACAAATGCATACACCTTTGTAGCCCAAACCCCTATAAATAATTGAAAATTATCTTCATCCCGGAAAGCTCCCTCATGCTCTTTCCAAGTCAACTGTTCCCCTCCTTCCTCCTGCCCCCCAGACATGTATCAATAACCTTTTGAATACACTCATCATTTTTGCAATTATTGACATTACTGAGTCCACCATATTTACAAAACGTCTCAAAAAACAAGCACCGATACAACAAATTCCCGTCAGACCAGTGTTTCTTGAAGCACAGCACATCACCGGCCTCAGCATCGCCCACGATGCTTAGTCGAAAAGCAGGTTCCTGAGTCCCACCGGAGACCTCCTGAATCACAACCTCAGAGGATCAAGTTTAGGAATCTCTTCTGCCAGCTCCAAAGCTGATTTTGATTCAAAGTTGATTCTGATTCAACCACAGTTTAAGAACCCTGGCTTTGGCCTAAGGAGGCTCTGGCTGAGATTTAAATAACTGCACATAACTGTTAACATTGTCTGTTGGTGACAGGCAGAAGTTTTGTTCCAGTGATTCTTTTATAGCTTTGAAAGTTTGAAAGCCAGGAGTTCCTACATGCAGGAATTTGGTAGAGGAGAAAAACATGTTTGTGAGAACCCAAATTTCAATGTCTTTAAATATTAAAGAACAGTGGAACATGTGTTCCTATACCCATCCTGTGGTTACTCAGTGAAAATGGGTATGACTTTTCACTTGCCATTTGTAGCAATATTGTTACAATAGCAGGTTGATTAATTAATCAATTTTCTCCTTTTTATCCCACTACTACAGCAAGAAAAATTCCATCCTGTCTTCAAACCCCCCAGACCTTTTGAAGGACGAATTGCCCGACTGATTCACAATCGACGACCTCTGGAGGCAGCTGTCCAGCAAAGACCACCTTCCTGTCCGGACTGTACCCCTAGAGTTTTATGTAACTTTCATACCTTTGTACCTAGTTCTACAGAAATGATGGCACTCAGCAATCACACACCAGTTGGCATGACCAGTAAGCACCAGGAAATTGAGGACAAGATTAAGGAAGAACAAAGCTTGTTATCTATTTATGCACACCCACCTTGTCACCCAACGAAAGATCTGACTAACATTTATGACATAAAACCATTTCCAAAAATCACAGATACTAAAAAGACAGATGATTTGTACTGGAGACAGCTGTCATTAAAACCCCAGCCTGTACCTTACTGCAATCCAAACAATTACATTCAATATGAACAGTTTAAATCTGCCTTAAATGACCAGTACCCTATGTGTCAAAACCCTTTTAGCCTTAGTAAGCCTCGTATTTTACAAAATAAACTGGACTCGGAAGCTTTCAATCTGGAACATTTTTTAAGTAAGCCAGAAGAACAGTTGAACTTGACCATGGAAAACGATGAAGACACCAGATCTCTTCTGGGTTGGATTCCTCGAGTTGGAGTGGCCAAGCCTCAGACAGACCTGCTGGAGCTTAAGAACTCTTTTTCAAAAACTGGTGCACAAAAACGTTTCCATAAATCAATTCTAGAAGACCATAAAGACCTCAGGGATAATGTGCATTCAGGGATGAAACACCAATTCTTTGGCCATAATTCCTATTATTTCTATAATTGAGATATTCATCCTTCCCTTCAAAACCCAGCCTCTTGCAAGAAAAGAAAAAAATATAACAGCATTTCTTCCTTGTTGCTGGATTCTGTTTTATAGAGGAGCCATGATGACCTTGTTAATGAGGTTTGTGTTTTCAGGAATTTAAGTTAGGATCCAGTTAAGAGGAACCCACAAAAGGTGATGTTCTGACTTCTTGAACAGTTTGGCAATAAAATATTACAACCAGAAAAATGTACAGTCTTTAATCTCATTTTCAAATTATATTCCAAGGAATTTTCCACAATCATGAAAAACAATGTGTATGATAAAGTTTACATTATTAGAAATGAGTATTTGAAAAAACTCAAATGCCCTATAATTGACAGATATCTATACAAACTGTAGTACCTTAATAAAATAAATATGTGAACACTGTCCCTTTATGTAAATGTTTATATAAAATAACATTAGGTAAAAAAGACAAAACTCAAATGCCCAGTTAATTGAGGATGGACAGCTCTACAAACTACATTACGTTAATAAAATAAAATTGTGGGTCTTGTTCTTTTATGTAAATAAGTGGACAAAGTAAGTCAGTAGAAAAGATGAAACCCAAAATGCTCTGTATGCATGCATTCTAAGCTGGATATTTCTCTTCCTTTAATCTTATGGTAGATAAACATAACCATTTCTTTTATGCAGAAAAAAGTGATTGTATTGTGTAGATCTAGCAATGGCTTTAATTAGTAACTGGTGAGTTCTAATTGTGGCAAGAAAGGATGGTATCTTAGTCCATCTGGCCTGCTGTTACAAAGTACCACGTACTAGGTGGCTTATAAACAACAAACTTTTATTTCTCACAGTTCTGAAGGCTGGGAAGGCCAAGGTCATGGCACCAGCAGATTTGGTGTCTTGTGCGAGTCCACTCCCTCATGGACAGCTGTCTTCTCACTGTAACCTCACATGACGGCAGGGGTGAGGGATCTCTCTGGGGCCTCCTTTGGAAGGAAGGGCTCTGCCTCACCTTCCTAAATAACTTTGGGGGTTAGGATTTCAACATACGAATTTTAGGGGACACAAACATTTAGACCCTAGCAGATGGCTTGATATCAATTATTCTAAAGCCAAATCACCATTTTTTGGAAGGTATCCACTAGAATTTAACTGACCCCAGATGCAGGTAAACCCATTTAATTTTAAACAAGTTTATCATGGAAAGTTCATAAGGAATTTCTAGGAGGCTTTTGTTGAGGTTTCTTCTAATTTTTGTTTTTGTTTCATAACTAACATGTCATTTGGTTACACCCTCTTTAAAGCTATTCTGGGCTAAAATTGTGGAATTTTTTCCCAAACACTATTCTATAGCACTAGTGATATTAGGTATTATGGGTATTATAGATATTATATTAGGTATTATTCCCAAGTACAAGGACTCTGTGATGTGCCTTATACAGAAAATGGTTATTAGATTTGCTTCAATTCAGGCATAAGTTCTTAGACTTGACATCAAAATGTGATCCATAAAAAAAAATTGATAAATTTGCCTTCATCAAAATTTAAAACTTTGGCTATGCAAAGGTCCTGTTAAGAGAATAAAGAACTACGCTATATACTGGGAGGAAATATTTTGCAAACCACATATCTAACAAAGGAAGGGCTAATATCTAGAATATATAAACAACTCTAAATTTCAACAGTAGACTAACAAACAACCCAATTAGAAAATTGGGCAAAAAACATTAAAAAAAATATCTCACCAAAGAGGATATACATATGGCCAATAGCACAATATAAAATGTTCAACATCATTCGCCATTAGGGAAAAGCAAATTAAAAACACAATGAGTATCTAATCTAAATCTTTCACGTAGCTTTTCACAAAGGAATCCAAGGGGTAACTATGTACAGCAGGAAAGGAAATACCTATTCATTTCAAGATTACTAAGCATTGGTTCTTAGCTAAAGCTAATCCCTTGGGACCCAATGATCCAGCAGTCAATGGAGAGAGGTTTAACCCTAAATTTACCTGCTGGTGGAGCAACAGGAACACAGACATGCTGTGGTGACTCCCCCAGCTCTTGAACGTGTCACTGGAATAGACATACTTACTTACCAATTGTCAGAACCCTGCTTTGGCTTCCTACCTAACCCATAAAGTAAGAAAAGGCCCAGTGGAAGTATCTGAGCACCTCTCCCTCCAAAATAAAGTCAAGACCACATCCTGAGGAAGGGGCAAAGAGAATACAAGGGTATTAGTGCCATCATCAAAAACTCGAAAAATCCAGGGGTGATTATTCTTATCATATCCCATTTAAACCACCTATTCAGTCTATTCACAAGATGTATGCATTTGGGAGAATGAGAACATATTATTTTAAATTAAATAAGGTGGTGATGCTAACAGAAGCTGCTATTCCATATGTACTAAGAGTACATATTCTTTCTCTGTCCTTTGGAAGAGTTTATTGTTATTGGGATTATTTCTTCCTTAAATACTTGGTGTAATTTACCACTGGAGCCATCTGGGCCTAGAGTTTTCTTTGTGTGAAGGCTTTAAATTATGGATTAATTTCTTTAACAGTTATAGTAATATTCAAGTTTGCTCTTTATTCCTATGTCCTGATAAATTGTATTTTTCAAGGAATTTTAAATTTGATCTAAATTTTCAATAAAATATTTATTATCTTTTCAATGTCTACAAGATTTGTCATTTTTCATATGGAGTCTTAGTGCCTTTTTTCTTGATCTTTCTTACCAGCTGTTTATCTGTTGTTTTAGTCCATTCTTTTACATTCAAACCTTTTATACGCTTATGTTTTAGATATATTTTTGTAAAGAGCAAATATTTCAGTTTTTGAAAAATCCAACTTAAAAATGTCTGATAACTATGGAATTTAGTTCATTTACTGTAGTAATAACTGATCTATTTGAGTTTTAATCTACCATCTTATAATGTGTTTTTTCCCCTGCCTGCCGTTTATTTTTCCCTTTATTCTTGCCTTTAAAAAGAAAATTAATCACTATTCCATTTTTTTCCACTACTTTGGAAAATATACACAACTTTTTAATAATTTTATTAGTTTCCATAGAATCTAAAATATACCCTCTTCCTGGATAATGTAAGGACCTTAGAATATTTTAATGCTACTTTTCTACTGACTTATATGCTATTGTTATCATGTACATATTTCATTTACTTCATATATAGCTATAACACACACCACATATATATATATGGCTTAGTTTTGGCTGTCCTTGAGTTTGGTAAAAAGCTTATCATACTAAATGTGTTTCAACTATCATAATTTTCATTTCTAGAAGTTACCTTTAGCTCTTTTTAAAATCTGCCTGGGGGCCAGCAGAGTGGCGCGATGGTTAAGAACTCGCTTGGGATGCCAGAGGGCCCCGGTTCGGATCCCACATATGAGGGCCAGTGACACTGCCCTCCACAGCTAAGATGCTGAACAACAGCTCAACCTGGAGCTGGGCTGCCATGAGTTGCCGGCGATGGCGTGGGCTGCAGCCCCTGTGGCAGTGGGTTGCCATGGGCTACCGTATGTAGCCAGCAGCCAGCGTGAGTGGCCAGCAGCCGCAGTGAGCGGCCGTCCAGAAGCCGGCGACTGATGTGCCTCGCCAGAGAAGAGCGCAATGATGGTGCCAACTTGGGCCAGTGAAGCAACGTCCTCCACAACTAGATTGAAGAACAAAACGACAGCAACTTGTCTGTTCCCCTTTCCCCAATTCCCCAGCACTGTTCCCATCCCGCCAACTCCCCAATAAAAAATAAAAATAAATAAATAAATAAATAAATAAAAAATAATAAAATCTGCCTGGTATACAACGTCAGGACTTCAAAAGTACAGGCTGAATTTGCAAGGTGTTGCTAAGCTTGGTCTTTTACACACTTGGATAGTTAGCCAAATGACCCTATTTCTGGAGTACACCTAAATGCTCACTACTTTGGTCCCTTCCAAAAGCCACAAAAGGTCTTGAATAAGTGTGATTTCTGCTGTTTTACAGCACACTTCTGTGGCAGTAGTGTGTGAGATTAGCGAGAAGGGACTGGAAGTCAGGACACAGGAAATAAAAATATTCCAGTCATCTAGGAGGCTGGGTGGTTGGGAGCAGAAACCATAGGACCAGTGGCTGGGAAGGGATCCAGGGTTAATCCAGGCCAACTTTATTGCTTAAATTGTGGGCGGGAGGAAGGTTGCTAGAGTGTATGCTCCATTAGAGAAAACGTCCTCACTGATTTACTCTAGGAATGTAACATGTATTCCGTAGACACTTGACTGAATGAATACGGCAGTGCTAGACAGAATATGAGAAAGGTGGAGAAAGTCCTAAGAACTCGGGGGCTGAATTTGAGGAATAAGGGCGTCAAGAAAACTTCCCAGTGGCAAAATTGGGCATGTCAGAAAGGGCTGCTAGTTCTGGAGCACAAGGATAGCTGGAAGCTGTGATCAAACCTGCGTTTCTAATATAACACCAACCGCATAAGCTTACTTGAACATGGCCTTCACCTAGGTTAGATGAGATGCAAATCGTCTTTAGATTTCCAAGAATTCTCTAATCATGTAACAATGTTTCTTCCTAGGTGCTGCCTTACACACCCTCCTTGTCCCTCTGCAAACAAACGCGAGGGAGGGGCCGGTATTGGTAGATTAGAAGCCAGCAGGTGAGAAGCCAGAGCTATATAATCCGGTCTCAGCCGCACCTTCCCCAGTCCTGGGGCGATCTGTGGAGAGAGCTCCCCATCAAGGGAGATCAATCTGGAAGATGACTTAAAGTAACAGGGTGGAGGCGGTACAAGAACAAGGTCAGGAGCACGTGTTCCACTCTATATAACTTCTGGTTCCAGGCCATCCCTCCGGTGCCAGCTGGGGACTATGACCCAGGATGTGTAAAGGTCGCCAGCTGAACGTAAGGTGGCCAGGAAACCTCTAGGTGCGTCAAAGTTGGGGCGTCTCCCTCCGGGGAGGCAAAACCCCTCCCTCGAAGGCAACACGTCAGCAAGCACAAGAGCAGTTACCTTAGCAAGATAACGCTCTCGATCCACCACTGGACTCCGCTCCACCCTCCCCGTCGGCACACGCATGCACACAAACGCGGGAGGGTGATGTCAGCACCACCCGGCACCCCCTTGGTGTCGTACGTCCCGTGGCCTGTCGTAACTGCCGGGCAAGAGAGGCCTCGAGAGGAAGGGCACGCGTGCGGTACATTCTAACTTGCTAGCCGGCATGCGCGCGCAGGTCGCCTTGAAAGGAAAAGCCAATGAGTCGCGGTGACGTCACTGCGTATCAGTCGGCCCGGCCGCACGTCGGGCCGCAAAAGGGCGGAGCGAGTTCGGTTGCACCAACACCGGTACATAGGCGCGGGCCGGCGTGTCCTTGGACTTAGAGAGCGGGACGTCCGGCTGGCGCGGGTGGGACTCTGTGTCGTGTCTAACGAAAGAGCGGTGAGCGCAGGGCGCGGAATGCGCAGCAGGGCGGGATGCCGATCCGTGGGGGCGGCGGGCGCGCGGGCGGTTGGGGGCCTGCGCCTGGGATCCCCCACTGGAGCCCACGCGGGCGGGCAGGGCGGGGAGTCACGACCCCGGACGGTGGCCTGCCTGAACCCGGCGGCTTACGGCTTGAGATGCGGTGGAACCCCAAGCCGCTAGGCAGACGCCTCGCTTTGGTCCGGGTCCTGAAAGCCCGGAGGCGGCTTGGAAACGGATACGACTGAGACGCGGCCCTCCCCGTTATCGGGGCTGAGAGGCTGTGGAAGTGATAGCTAAGACTTCCCGGGGTGCGGGCGGGGATGGGAAGTCGGTGGGCAACGCTTCCCGCCCTCCTTCAGAGGGAGCAAAACCTGCTGCTCTGCTAACGGGCGTGTTTGGGTTTTTTCCTGACCACCTGTCGCTTCTTCTCCCCGTAACTTGCCCAGGCATTTCAGGAAAGGTAGGTTTCCTCACAGTATCCTTGAAACCGGCCTGGGTGGGTGACCTCGTGGTCGCCCCCAGGGACCCCTGAGCTGGAGAAGGGATGTCCCTGGGAAGCCTTGCGGCCTGCCGCTGACCGCTCACCCACAGCAAGGCAGGTTAGAGTGACCTGAGCTGGCTGAAGCAACCGTGACCTCTTTTTTTTTTTTTTTTTAAACGTCCTTTGCCTCATCCTCAGAGAGATGGCTTTAAATTGTATGAGTAAATTAGGCATTCTTAGTTGCTGTTTTGGTGGGTTTGGTTTAATGTAATCACCTTTAAACTTAATAAGATGTGTGACCTTGACCTCATCTTTTGATACCAGTTTTGAACTAGGTTCCCACTTTGGTGTTAAAGAGCCTACTGCAAGTGTACTGAGTACAACAAGATTGATCCTGGAATTTAAGGTCATAGATTTGCAATGGATTGGTAATTACCGTATTTCCCCATGTATAAGATGCACCCCCCCTACCCCTGGAAAATTTGGGGTGTAAAAACTGGGTGCGCCTTATACAGTGGTTGTATAATGGTTGGGCGTTTTGACAGTGATGAGGAGTTGTATGAATTTTATGATGAATAAAACTTAAGTTCAATAACTTCATGTAATACTTCTTCTTCCTTTTTTTTCCCAAATTCCGGGCCCCAAAATTAAGGTGCGTCTTATACATGGGGAGCGTCTTTTACATGGGGAAATACGGTAAATGATCATTGCTTGGTTTCCACTGTATTTTTACTTGGAGGAAAAACGTAATAAATTGAGTCTTTAATTTTTAGATTTAAAGATGGGTGATGTAGAGAAGGGCAAGAAGATTTTTGTGCAGAAATGTGCCCAGTGCCATACTGTGGAAAAGGGAGGCAAGCACAAGACTGGGCCAAATCTCCATGGTCTGTTTGGGCGAAAGACTGGTCAGGCCCCTGGATTTTCTTACACGGATGCCAACAAGAACAAAGGTAAGAGGGAGACAGTTGTTAAATAACTGAGGCACAGATCACATGAATGTAACTAACCTATGGTGAACCCTTTATGAGGAGTGCAAAATAGTTAACAATACATCTCCTTGTTTAGGCATCACCTGGGGAGATGACACCTTGATGGAGTATTTGGAGAATCCCAAGAAGTACATCCCTGGAACAAAAATGATCTTCGCTGGCATTAAGAAGACTGCAGAAAGGGCAGACTTGATAGCGTATCTCAAAAAGGCTACTAAGGAGTAATAGTTGGCCACTGCCTTATTTATTACAATACACAAATGTTTCATGACTTTTTTTTTTTTAATGTGTACCATATTTAAATTGATCTCATGTACCAGAAATCAGATCATGAATGGCTGATATTACATTTCTTTTGGGCAGTCTTGATTTAAATAAGGTTGGCTAGTGGCTAAATGAATATGATCAGCTTTCTGAACGTTGATGGTAATTCGGTTCAGCAAGTGCTGTCGCTGTTTTCCCCCCTTCTAAAGATATGATTGGATGTGATTAGTCATGTTCAACTTTTCACAGGGATGGTAAATGTCACCTCAAAAACTGTAGGAAATTGATTTTATATTTAGATTTATATAAATGGTTATATTAATATGTTAAATACTGAGGCATTCCCTTCACGGTCTTATAGAACAGCCAGACTCAGTTGTTTCCAGGATTCATTAGCCTGTTAAAAGGCAAGGGCTAAAGATAAGGTGGCAGTGTCCACTTTATCTTTTTAGTCCTAACTATGCCAATTTAATTAAAATTCCCTGTATCTAAACTGTTGCCTTTTACTTAACGAAAGGCATTTTAGTTTGGTTTATGTATAATACAAGTAAAAAATATTTTACACTTCTCACATTTTATAGATGATCTGTAAGGTCAGATGCTTTTAAAATTCAGCGTGGAAAGATACAGTAGCAAACTTTACTTGTGAGTTCTTTACTAAGTCAGACTAACTTGTAAGTTAGGACTGTCTTTTAAACAGTTATTCAAAAAACAACTGTAGAACTATATGCATATGATTGGTAATGGTGCTTTTGCCAACTCACTAGAAGGATTAAAGTAGAGAATAGACCATCAGCACAAAATTGTAAATTATTTGATCATAAAGCTTAAGACAATTAAAAAACAAAATCACAGATTTTTCTAATGTGCTTGATTTAATGACAAATGCCAAAATTTTAATAGTTGAAAAATACAGTAGCCCTAAATGTTGATACAGCAGTGTTACTAGTCATACTACTAGATTATATTTTACTTGGTCCTCTAGGATAGCACTTAAATAATTCATCCTTGGAGTTTCTTTGCCCAGTGTGCCAAACATGAATAGAAGAAGATACTTCTGGTTATAGATTTGTGATATATAACTGTATTATTTATGTACTAAATTATTTCATCCACAGTCCATACCATGCCTTTAGAGTAGTCCCTGGGAATTTTATGGAGACTGTGAGAGAAATTAAGTCCTAGCCTGAGTATTAATGGTAGGGAACTAAAAACTGCATCCTGGGAATCTTTCAGGGGTTAAGTAAAGCCTTTGTAACAGGATTTTGTACCTGAGTAAGTCAGTGATATTTAGAGACAGTGTAGCCCTTTAACTTCTAAGAGACAACCTGGACCCACATGGAAAGACATGGAGGCCAGGGAGCTGAGCTATTTCTGTGTCTTGTACATCAACTAAGACCTGTGTAGGCAGAGATAATTGCTGAGTACCTGCTGTGTTTTATGCCAGTTACACTTAGTAAGTGCCTCTGGTCATTTATCATGTAAGTGGTCCTAATAGTTAATTCAAAGGGAGGGCTATTCCTGGCTCTCAGGGCTATATGCTCTTAGAAGTAAATGAGGACAAAAAGCTAGCACTGTTATCCATATGTCTTCATTCCTAGTGCTTCATCATAGGTGGCTTGGTGAGTGGTATCAAAAAAGAGCCAGATGTATTTAAGGAGTGTTTCTTCCAAGTGCCACCTACATTCTGGATTTTGTCTAGAACCAGCACTAATAGAACTTCCAGTGATGATGGATTGGACTTGTGTCCAGTATCATAGCCACTAACCACATGTGGCTGTTAAGCCCTTGAAATACAGCTGGTGTCAATATAGAACTGAATTTTTTGTTTTGTGTAACTTTAATTGATTTAAGTTTACATAGCACAAATGGTTAGTGACTAGTGTATTTAAACAGCACGCGTCTGGAGCTAGAGCCAGTGGTCTATAACAAGTGCTTTCCCTGGACTTTTTTTTATCAATCTGGTTCAGACAAGAGTAAACCAATTTATATATAGTGGAGAGTTTTTATTCCACTGATGGGGTTTCTGGCTCCCCTTCATTATATCAGCGTGAGATGTTGCCGAGCATGGAAGAGGAGTGGCTAAGGTATAGTTTGCAGAGAGTAGGCTAAGGCCTGACCGCACATGACACACCTCTAATGACCTGGAAGTTCATCTCCCAGATGAAGCTTCTCGAGGCGGTGCTGGGGTGTGGACGGTACTGCTGCTGAGGCTACATTTTTTGTGCCCAGGCCATGGTCCTCGTGTTCACATACTTCGAATATAATAAAAATAATAAGGTTTCTATTTGCTTAATAACAGTTGGATTCCAGGTTACCGTATTTAGAGTTTGTGGTATTTGAAAACCGGTCATATCCTCAGGCTGTCTTCATTCAAAAAGCTAAACAGGTTTACTGAGTTTAGATTATTTCTCAAAAGGTAAATGTATGTTGAGGTTTTTAGGGGGAACTTCACTGGTAGTCTCCCTACGTATCACCAGCCAAGTTCAGCTTTCCATACTCAGGAACACAATGGCCAGAGGACCAACATAATGGCAGCGATACATCATTGACAGTGTTTAGAAATTGCCTTGCAGAAATGGCAAGAGGGACTACCTTGCTGGAGCTTTGATAAAATGGGATGTTTTAGTCACATTAGAGAAATCCCAGAAGTTTGGAACTGGAAGAGATTTTAGTCTTATAATCCAACTGTGCCCTTATACAGATGAGAGGAGAAATTTACCTGAGATAGGCTCTGAACCATGGGAATGACTTTGTGTTGGGCTGGGCAGCTAACAGGACCTGTGGTCCAACCTAACTGAACACCGGGAGAAGGCAGACAGGCACAAGGCAGATGACACGTGGGTTTGGAGGGGGATAGGGTTAGCCGAGTCCCCTGACCTCCCCCCCACCTTGACTTGAGGAGCCAAGCAGCGGCAGCCTGGGGTGGGGCAGAGTGCACCCCGTTCTGGGCTGCCGCCCCCTCCCACCGTATCGTGAGAATCCCTGTAGCCTGGGATCTTGTTCTTCAGAGGGTGCTGCGCCCAAAGCGGCCACCCAGTCAAGCACTCCTGCCCTGCTGACCTGGTTACAGGACCCTATTTGGCGCAGAGGAGCTATGCCCCTCCTTTTTCGTCCCCCTGGATTTGTTACCGTTCTGCACCCCTAACACCTACCAACAAAGATTGTCTACGTTGAAACCACAACCAAGATACCCTGGTTCCTATTTGGTCATTAAACCCCGTTTTCCCAGACAGGTGAAGGAGCTTTTTGCTTCCACTGTTCGTTATGAATGCAGCTATGTTCCACTTCGGTGCCATTAAACGTGTCTGTACCTTGAAGTGCATTTTGAAAAAGGACCATTGGACTAAACTGCTATAATGTAGAGAATGCTAGGTTTGGAATTAGAAAAACCATGTTTGGAGTAGGAGTTGGTAAACAGCGCAGCTCATGGGCCCCACCTGGTCAGGCACCTGTTTGAGTAAAACTACTGAAACACAGCCATGCTCACTTACGTCTTATCTAGGGCTGTTTCCATACTACAACCTCAGGGCTGAGTAGTTGGAACAGACCATATGACCCACAAAACCTGAAATACTGACTTGCACTTCACAAAGGCTCTCCACCCCTCGTTTGCAGTAGAGCTTTGCACAATCTCATTTTTGCCATCTGGAGAACAGAAATATCTACCTCATAAAGTTGCTGTTGAGCATTCATTAAGTCACGTCTGTGAAAGCTGTATGCACTGAAATATTTTTTCATTTTTATATCCAGGTCAAATTCCTTGAAAATCACATGAAAAATGAACTACTTCCAAGGTTAGCAGTGACTTCCTGTCTAGTGTTTTTTATTCTCAGTTGTCTCTGATGGTTCTTAAGGACATTTGACACCCTTGACTGCTCTTGTTTTATTACTTCCCTCAGTTTAATTTAGTTTCACACTCACATGGAATAAAACACATTGGCATCAAAGTCTTCATGCACATATAGCTGTAATCGTCTGTTGGTAACCTGAATGCATACTTCAGCATGACATTTTGCCTAAATTCCAGTCCCATAACTCAAATTGCTTTACAGCTGTAAGGTGCGTTCTCATCTCAACTTATCCTCACTACCTCATAAGTTGCATGGAACAGTGCAGTAAGTTGTTGATAGGTTCTGCGACTTCAGCGAAATGACACAACAAAACCAATTTTACCATAAGCTGCCTGAGTTAAGTTCCTACGACAAGGTTATAACAAAATGACGTTATTCAAGGACCTCTGTGTTGTCCCTGGTTTATACGTCAGTAAACAGGCTCAGGCTGTCCACACAGAAATATGACCTTGGTAAGTATCACGTACTGACACAGCCTTCTAAACACTCCATGTAAACGGCGTCATCTCAGCCTCTACACAACTCCTACACTCTCCTTACTAGAGGCAGGCTTTGTCCAGACCTGAACCTCTGCCGCCCTCACAGGCAGAGCCAGCCTGTTCTTCCAGTGTCTGCTACAGCAGCCTAGAGGTCTTGGCACCTTCCAGACCTTCAATCCTTTTGCCGGCAGAACTACCTTTGTGACATTGGTGACATCTTCATGGACCCTTTGCTGTTGTCTCCTGAACCTTCATCACATTCACAGAACTTCAGCACCAGCTTACATACCTCTCCATTCCAACTCTTCATACTGGTAATAGCTACATGCAAGCGAATAAATGACCCATCCTTAATGCCACTGCAGGCTCAAACTTTTTACTTGGTTTTAACCTCAGCACTTCTTTTCCATGGTTGCAACTTAGACTTGCATTGCTCCAGCACCTCCCTACTTCTGAAATTATTGGGTTGTCGGAAAAGTCATGACGCATTTTTGCAATGAAAAACAGAAAAATACATCATGACTTTCGACAACCCAATAGAAATCCCACTGCACCAATCTGATCACAACCTCATATCACTCCATGTCTCAATTCTATCGCTGATTCAACAACCAGCAGAGACCCTGTGCAACTGCACTCGTGTATATCCATTCTGTCCCAGTCCTCATGCTTAATTTAGAAGTTCACGCTCCAAGATGATCTCACCCCTTCCCCTGTTCTCACAGCAGATGGCAGTGCTTCCCGTTTCAGATAAGAATTCTCTACTTCCTGACTACAAGGAAGGTTTCTGTTGCTCACCAGCCCCTACCTTCCTTCAACAATGTTCTTAATTCAGATGTGGTTCAGAATGTTAAGTTACATCAAACAGTAGCTCCAGACGTTCTATACGCTTCAGCGGGGTCAGTCTGACACCCATTCCCAACCCCTTTGTCCTCTGCCCCTTCCCGGAGAAACAGGGAGAGCTAAATGCTTGTTTTCATTTCAGTGCAGGAAATTCACCTTGGAACTTCAACAGAACAAATATACTGCATAAGTTAAGTTGAATGAAATTGTAGCTGTCCCTACCTGAATCAGGCAGGGGTGATACACCTGGACTAAGAGATGACTCATCTTTCCAGTTTGTGGATGATAGGGTAAATCTAAATATAAATAATTTTCTAAGTCACCTGCCCTGAATTGGGACAGACAATGTTGTCAGGAGAAAACTTTTTTTTTTTAAAGATTTTTATTGGGGAATTAGGGGGATGGGAACAGTGCTGGGGAATTGGGGGAAGGGGAACAGACAAGTTGCTGTCATGTCGTTCTTCAGTCTAGCTGTGGAGGACATTGCTTCACTGGCCCAAGTTGGCACCATCATTGCGCTCTTCCCAGGCGAGGCAGATCAGTTGCCGGCTTCTGGACAGCCGCTCACTGCGGCTGCTGGCCACTCACACTGGCTGCTGGCTGCACAAGGTAGCCCATGGCAACCCACTGCCACAGGGGCTGCAGCCTACAGCGTCGCCGGTGACTCCCGGCAGCCCAGCTCCAGGTTGAGCTGTTGTTCAGCATCTTAGCTGTGGAGGGTAGTGTCACTGGCCCTCATATGTGGGATCCGAACCGGGGCCTTCGGGCGTCCCAAGCCAGCTCAACCATCGCGCCACTCGGCTGGCCCCAGGTGAAAACTTTTCATGCTTTTTTCTGGTGAATGTTGGAGGAACACAGTACAAGGGTCTGAGCCCTTTGCTGACACTGCTAATGGAATCTTAGGCCCATTAACCTTTCTGTGCCTTAAGTTTCTTATCTGTAAACACGTTAATTATATTAGCCCGTAGGGTTGTTGTGAGAATTAAACAAGAGAATATAGTCGGTGCATTACCTGGCATTCAGCAAGCACTCAAATGTCAGCTAATTTTGAACTGGATGGAGGGAACAATTTTTCAAATTGGCAGTTGGACAGATTGCTAGGAAGGGAGAAGATGCTCAGATGACTCTTCCAACCAGAGTGACTTAGTGGGAGAGAAGTGCCAAGCCATATCTAATAACTGACTCATCAGGTGATGTCTCATTCCCTGTTAGTGACCAGGACGGAGAATCAATGAAGTGCAACTTCTACCAACTCCATTTACCTTGAGAGCTTTCCTGCAGGGGTCTGAGACTTGTGGTCAAAAGGTTAAATGGGCACCTAATTTTCATACACTCATCTAAGTGTGTCTAGTTTTTCCAGTAACCTAACAAAGACATAGTTT